GTAGGGTCTAGAACCGATTAACCGCGATAAACGAGGGTTCACTGTATTATGAAAATATTAATTAGGTATCTACTGCAGGCTGAGGAGCTTTGGTGGTGTAGTGGGTTTTGTATTGGGCTGCCAGCCGACCGGCAGGAGAAAGATGAAGCTTTCTGCTTGAGTCAAAGTTAACAGGTGTGGAAACTCACGGGGCAGCTCTACTCTGTTCCCTGTAGTTGCTGTGAGTGGGAACGACCTTAATGCCGTTGAACAATTTTTGTGTTGGTTTTGAGATTCCGTACTGACCACTCTGGGTGCTGGGTTATATAGTGTCAAGCAAAACAGTAGCCTTTGTTCTGTTCAGAGCCTACATGCTTTCAGAGGAGACGGATATATACAGACATGGAGGTAGAACCTCGGGGAGGGCTGAATGGGAAAGGGACCAGACGAAGAAGCAGCCTATTTTAGGCGGGATGGTAGGGAAAACTCTGACTTAGAAATTCTCCAGCGGAGGCAGGTCCTTCATGCTGGTGAGTAGTCCTAGTGAATGAATGATACCGAAAGTCGCTTCTCAGTCTTTATGTTGCAATGCTCTGTTTTCTTAAGTTGGACACATTGTCTCAAGTAGAAGAAGAATCTCTTTTAAGAAACGATCTTCGTCCAGCGAATAAGCTTGCTAAAGGAAACAAGTTATTCATGAGATTTGCTACAAAAGGTAAATTTGTTTGCTGACGTTGGCTTTGTTCTTGAGCAGGAGGATAACTGACGGTGCGGCCTGCCCCTTTGACTAGGAGGGCGCTTGGGCAAGGGCCTCAGAGTTCCATTCAGACTGTAGGACTCTGCGCTGCTTACGTGATGGCTATCGCTTGAGTTGGGATTTCTGACTTTCAAAGTATATCATAACTGCTTGTATGCTATTCTTGGGCAAAGAGGCTATTTTCTGTTAAAACTGGTTTGCCCCAGGTATCTCTCAGCCAGTATCGGAGCTATGACAACCATTTTTAAAATGCTGCGCTGATCCCTCGCCATAGGCGTCTTACATACAGTTCATTTTGGTGGGCATTTCACTGTTTGTGGAAAAATAGAATGAAAAGAATTTTCCCATGAATTGTTTGAAGGCCCATTGTAGTTTTGCACGTACCCAAACTTGCAAAAGCAGTGAAGGAACCACTCCTGTGGCCTTTCCTCGGACCCTGAGTCCTGAGTCTTACTTCACTTTTATCTGTGTGTGTGTGCGTGCGCGTGCACAGAATTATCTTGATCATGTGTGTTAATTGGAGACAACAAGCCCCTTCAGCCCTAAGTACTGCAGTATGAATCTCTGAAGAACAGGCTCTCTTTTATACGCGCAGCACAGTGATCGCCGCCAGGAAACATCAGATTGATCTCTACCCCCGTCAGGGCTCCATTTTCAGATTTGCTCAGTTGCTACATAATGCCCTGTATACGTTTGCCTACATCCAGGTCTAGAGTCTGCTCTACAATTGCAGTTTGGCCTCTGTCTTTTAAAAGTCATTTTATTGGGAGCTTCTACAGTTATCATAACATGCCATAGTTCAGTCTCAGCTGCAGTATTGTACAACTGCTACAATCCATCTCAAAACCCTTGGTCTCTCTTACGATGGAACCGGCCCTCTGCCCTCTGTAGCTGCTCTTGAAAGAAGCTTTCTTGGAGGTGAGCTCCCTGTGAACCTCTCTGGTGGCTTGTCCCATGTTGCCCGGGGTTAAATCCCGGCTCGGCCCTCTCGGCAAGAACACCGCTTATCAAGGGGCACAGGTATTTATATTCCCGTCACTGGAGACTTTCACTTCTGAAACGTGTGTGAAGATAATGGCAGCCAGGTTTCTCCACTGTAAAGGTAGCTATTTCCTGTAGAGAAATATTTTGAGATGATCAGACTTTGACCTAAAGATGTGAGCATCCATTGATGGTTTTCTAGTGCCATCATTTTTCAGATATGTGTACCATATATACTCGAGTATAAGGTGACCCAAATATCAGTCGAGGAACCTAATTTTACTACAAAAACTGCATTAAAAATGTGCTAAAGGGAGGACATGAGCCAGTCAGGGTGCAGTGTAGCAACGATGAAACATACAACTTTCCTCTAGTTCCTAAATGCTCCCCCCCGGCCAATTATCACGATCCCAATTCTGCCTGCAAATCTGGCTAGACCAGAGGATATACACTGGTACAGATAGGAATTGGAATTCAGGACGATGATCCCTTCAGGACCAGTGCTGAGCGTAGCGATACTGGGAGGGTGGGGTGGAAAGGGGGAACCGATTACAGGGATCTACACATAACCTCCTCCCTGGGGGGCGGACAACAGAAAAAGTGGGTGAAGGGAGACACCAGACAGTGTAAGATATGACAAAATAATAATTTATAAATTATCAAGGGTCCATGAGGGAGGGCAGAGCAGGGAGGGTGGGGGGAATGAGGAGCTGATGCCAGGGGCCTAAGTGGAGAGCAAATGTTTTGAGAATGAGGAGGGCAACGAATGTACAAGTGTGCTTGACACAATTGATGTATGTATAGATTGCGATAGGAGTTTTATGAGCCCCCAATAAAATGATTTCTTTAGAAAGTGCTGAAAATTTCAGCTTACACACCAGTACATACCGTAAGTTGTAAGGAAGAACTTTTGCTTTTAAAAAACTTATTTATTTATATTAGCAAGACTCAGATTCTTATTTGATTCAGTGAGTTGTCCTCCGTTGCTGGCATCATTTCGGTTCACAAGTCTCAGATTTGGCCAGTAGAGTCCCTTTAAACTGTGCTCTTTGTTTGTTTTGTTTTCTTTTATTGTGGAGATAGATATATAAACAATATGTCCCAGCTTGACAATAGCAACTTGCAAGAGTTGCTAGGCAGCCCGAGGCGTTCATGTGAACGGGGAGGAACAGGTGGGCAAAGGAGGGTGAAGGGAGTGTAGCTCCTGAAGAATATATCCAGGGTCGCTGCACTGCCCATGCAGAAACTTGACGTGGCCTGTGCATATTGTCAACAACAACAAAATGAAAATAAACGCCTTTTTAAAAATTGCCAATTTAAAAACAAAAAATTGCCAATTCTACCTTTTCTTCCCTGGATAATTCAGCGACATTAGTTACGTCGATTGTGTTGTGCAACTGCCACCCTCCATCAGTTTCTGCGGGATTCCCCCGTCACAGAAACGGAGCGTCCCTGAGCAGGGACCCTCTTAGTTTAACCACTGACGGATAACGTTGCTCTCTGTGCCCCTGCCTGGCTCGTGTGAGTGGGTCAGACTGCGTTCACCGTCTGTGAGGGCTCTCGGCACTCGGCACCGTGTTTTCCAGGTCTAGCCATGCTGGATGGATGAGCTGGGTTCTTTTGACACAGCCCCAGGCTTCCCTGCGCACCGTCTCGTTTCATGGCACAGGAAAGCATCGTGTTTTCCCAGACCCTGCGTTGCCCCAGACCCGGGAGCAGCTGTTTCTCAAGGGCCTGCTGGGGAACACGCTTTTTTGTCGGGCACTCGTCATCGTGTGTGTTGCCTCATCTACCTAGAACCTTGACAGTGGAACCTGTCTTGCCAGTCAGCACGTGTCCACGGAGCAGTCACAGCCTTCAAATGACTGCATTTCAGGACCTGAGGTGTGATCACTGACTCCCTTTTTCCTGGTAGGCCCCAGGCTGCCATGAGCAATGAGCTCTTTTCTACACTGGGCCATTTGAGTAGCAATTGCGTTCTTGGTGTGTGGACTAGGCCTTTTTCTTTAAGTCACTTTGGGGAATAACTCACTAAGCTGGAAAAAATTATTTACCCAAGATCCCATTATGTATGATCTGTTTCTCTAACCCTGGTTCGGTGTGATTGGCACGTTGCCAGTCAAAATGCTCGTTTGCCAGGGGGCAGCTCAAATGCCACCTTTCCCAGAAAGCTTTCTGATCCCGAAACACCCACAATAACCGGGCCTCTATTAAGCTTTTTGGAGACTTGCTGCTTGAATTGTTTATTTTTGTGTAAGATTTCTTTCGTTCTGTCAGCCCCGTAACAGCAGCTTAAGCACCTTCCTTCCGCATTCAGCCTCAGTCCCTCCACTCCGCACTGCTCGGAATAGAGAGTGGATGTGGATAGTGGGTCATTCATTTGGCCAGATCTGAGCTGAGCTATGGGGCACCCCCACCCCCCGAACCCCTGCCTTTTAAATCTTTCAACATTGTCTTCATGCCCCCAGGAAATCCTAGGTAACTGTTGCAATTAATTCTTAGATGACAAAAAGGAACTTGGAGCGGCCCGAAGAAGTCAGTACTACATGAAATACGGGAATCCAAATTATGGAGGCATGAAAGGAATTCTGAGTAATTCTTGGTGAGTCCAAACCTTCAGTCGTTCAGCAGTGCTTACACTCTGCTTAACCCGCCACTGGGGTCTCTGCACCTGGGGACATGAAGGAGAGCTAGAGGTGAATCCAAGACACTTGCATGTGGTCAATGATATGGGGATTCGGCATTTCCTCTTCACGTAGACTCCTCTGAGCACTGAACGTTACATCGGGAGGTGGGTGAAATGCATCCTGTACTTCAGGGTCTGTGCTGCTGATTTCTGATGATGTGCTGATTTTGGCAATGTTGCAGGAAGCGGAGATACCATTCCCGTCGCATTCAGCGGGACGTGATCAAGAAGAGAGCCCTGATTGGGGATGACGTTGGCTTGACATCCTATAAACATCGACATTCCGGTAGTTGTCTGCTCAGCTCTCGGGTAGACACTTGCTTGGCTCCCGAAACTATAGTGTTTATACAGTGTTTTAAGGTTCTGTGCTTTACCATCCTGTCTTTCTTGCCCTCACCCTCACCCTCACCTATAGGAAACTAAGTCAAGCTACTGATTAATTTTAAATTGTGCATACAAGAAGGTCAAGTGACTTTATATTCTAACCAAAAAAGGCCAAAATATGATGTAAGGGAAAATTAATGAAACGTAGGATTTTTTTCTGCCATTTATAGGAAGTTGCATGGAAAAATTATCCAAGTTGTTTGATCAGTTGGGCTCATTTCTTCCCCTTTGTCTGGTGTTGAGAACAGGCCTGGCGGGTCTACTGTTTGCCAGCTGGTTGGCTTGTGACTGAGTGCCGCAGAGCAGTGGGACATCAAGACATGGGTTTTGTTTTCTTGCCTTTTCTTCCCTTTTGTTGTTCATATATTTTATATGATCATGTTTTATAAAGATTTGCATTTTGTGTTGAACCCTATCTGTGGCATCTTCTACAGGGCTTTGTAGAACTAGCCATACCTGCATACCAACAGACGAACACATCCGCATCCTTGTCATTGCAATGAGGCAAAGGAGGGAATGTCCATTAGTTATTACTTAATGTATGCATCCCAAATTTTATATTTTAATTCCATTAGATACTGCATGGTTTCAAATCAGAAAATCCGTACAGCAAGGGTTCTGTGTGGGAGCTTCAAAAAATTCATGGAAAAATTCCATCTTTTTTTTAATCAGCAGCAGCCAGAAAATCAAGCAGCAATATTGCATTGGGTAAACCTGCTATAAAAGGACTCTTAAAAAAACAAAAACTAAACACTTTTTATAGTGAATTAACTAAAGGTTCACAGAGAAGATCAGTTTTCCATTCAGCAATTCAAACACCTTTTGTTTTAATCTCATTGATTGTGTTCTTTACAACATCACATGACTTATCCCGCTTGCTCACTTGTGTTTCCATCCCTCCCTCTTTCCTAACCCTTTAACCTTTGTCCTTGGGTAAGCGCTGTCCATTTGATCCCAAATGGCTGATAGATTCCTTTTTGTCCTACAAACTTATTAAATTCTCTTAAATCCCCCTCAAAGGGAGCCCTGGTGGAGGCCCAGGCACGCTGACCAGGGTCAGACCCAACTCAGGGATTCACATGGCAACCAACTAAAGAGGAGGGGAAAAGAAAAAAGGAGGATGTGGATAGTGGGGGAATAGGGCACTAACCCACCCACCCGGAGGGTGTTGTTTATGTCTCCACAGGAAAGGGAGAGAGGGACCAGACCTCAACCTGGTACGCCAAGCCTTGAGGGCAATATATTGACATGAAGCAGTGAACTCACGAGTTCTGGGAGGCTGGCCCCAATTCCAGCTATGTCAACCCTCATCCAGAAGATGGCGCTACAGCAGACAGCACTGAAGATGTAGCCTGTGGAGAGTGGCGAGTCACACACAGGAGCAAACCGAGAGGGAGAGAGAGAGAAGACTGCACCTGGCCCACCCAGACCCGAGGACGGCACTCCTGCTGCAGTAGCCAAGGCCCAGGGAAGACCATAGGGCCGGCCCAGCACGAGAGACACGACGCCCCCTCACTGACCCACAACGCTGCACGGGACAGCACTGGAGACACAGTGTGGGAATTGTGCCTGGTCTGACACCCACCTCTCCCCAACACACACATCCACAGCCACACACACACCTGGGATGAATCATGAGGGGAGCAAAGCAACAAAGTCCCCAAGGAATCGGAAAATAGACTGTAGACTCAGAGAGCAGGGCGTGGCACCTCATCGTACTCGATTGGAAAACACACATAAGGGTCAGCAGATAGATAGTCCCCCCTTTCTCCCCCCCCCCTTTCCCATGTCTATCTATATAAGGTAGGCAAGATAAACAGTCCTGAGGAGAAAACAACAGGAGTGACTTTTCTGGGGGGACAGGGGTGAGGGGGATGTGGTGGAAAGGGAGGTGGGGCGGGAGCCAGTAAACCCCAGGACAAGGGAACAAGAGATCTAAAATCAATGGCGAGGAAGGTGTAGAACACCTGGTGGGGTTTGATCAAGTGCAGTGTAGCTTGAGAAGAATTACTGAGCCAAATGAAGGTCGAACATGATGGACAGGAGGAAAGTAAGAGGGGAAAGAACTAGAGGAAAGAAGTAGGAGGCAAAAACCATTTATAGAGGTATAAAAAGTATGTATATATATAAATGTATTCATACATAATGATAGGGATATAGATCTCTGTACATAAATTTATATGTTAAGTATAAAGGTAGCAGACGGAAATTGAGCCTCTACTCAAGTCCTCCCTCGACGTATGAACGCTTTGTTTTAAAAACCTGGAATTCTGTGATGCTCACCTTCCCAAAATGATTGCTGAAGTAAAAATGGGTGGATAAGCAAATGTGGTGAAGAAAGCTGATGGGGCCTGGCTATCAAAAGATATAGCATCTGGGATCTTCAAGGCTTGAAGTTAAACAAGTAGCCATCTAGCTGGGAAACAACAAAGCCCACATGGAAGAAGCACACCAGCCTGTGTGATCACGAGGTGTCAATGGGATCAGGTATCAGGCATCAGAAGTCCCAAAACAAACAATCATATTGATGAAAACGATGAAGGGGGGAGTTGCAGTGGAGACCCAAAGCCCATCTGTAGACAATTGGACATCCCCTCACAGAAGGGTCACAAGGAAAGGACACACCAGCCAGGGTGCATCATAGCACCAAGGGAACACACAACATTCCTCTGGTTCTTTAATGCTTCCTCCCCCCGCTATCATGACCCCAGTTCCACCTTACAAATCCGGCTAGACTGAATGGAGCATGTACACTGGTACAGACAAGAGCTCTCTACCCACGGAATCCAGACAGATGGAGAAAGGGGAAATCGATGTGTAACACACTTCCACCCCCGCCCAGGGGGATGAACAACAGAAATGTGAGTGAAGGGTGACAGCAGACTGTAAGATAAGAAAATAATTTATGATTTATCAGGGGTTTACGGGGGTGGGGGTGGGGTGGGTGTTGGGTGAAGTAAAACTGATACCAAGGGCTCAAGTAGAAAGAAAATGTTTGAAAAGGATGATGGTAACATATGTACAAACGCGCTTGCTACCATTGATGTACGGATTGTGATAAGGGCTGTAGGAGTGCCCCCACTAAAATAATTTATTAAAAAAAGAAAAGGGAGCCCTGGTGGTGTGGGGTGGTTACAAGTCAGGCTGCTGACCATAAAGTCAGCGGTTCAAAAGCACCAGCATCTCCCTGGGAGAAAGCGGGCTTTACGTGCCTGTGAAGGTTGAGGTCTGGGAAACACCGGGGCAGTTGTTCCTTGTCCTGAAGGGTCACTAGGAGTCGGCATTGACTCGATGGCAGTGAGTTTGGTTTGGGGTACATCCCCTCCTGTGCTTTCCCCATACTTATTGACTTGTCTGCTGAGCAAAGACGCCAAGAATCTGCAGCTTCAGGATTAGAGGAAGATTGATTAACCATCTGATACGCAGATGACAGCCTTGCTTTCTAAAGCTGAGGAGGCCTGGAAGCACCGAGGAAGATCAAAGACTGTACAGCCTTCCCTATGGATTACATCTCAACAGACCACCAAAATCTTCACCATTGTACCAATGAGCAACATCACGGTAAACAGAAATTAATGAAATTGTCAAGCATTTCATTTTACTTGAATAAACGCTCGAGACAGCATCCGAAAAAACCAATGTATTGGGCAAATCTGTCCAAGAGCTCTTTCAAACAAAGATGGTCGCTTGAGGGTTAAGCTACGGTATCTAAATGGCCTCGTGGATGCGGAAGCCGGATGGACTAAGGAGGACCAGAAAAGAATTGGTTCATGTGAACTGTGGTGAAGAATGTTTTACATACCGTGGACTACAGAAGAATGACAAGTGTCTCGAAACATAACCAGAAGGCTCCTTGGCAGCTGGGATGGTGAGATTCAGTCCTGGGTCCTTTGGGCATGTTGTCAGGAGGGACTAGGTCCTGGGAAAGGACTCGGGCTTGGTGACGTAGAGCCCCTGGGAAATGAGGCAAACCCTCATTTGGCACCACGGCTGCAGAGTTGTGCTGACTAATGCATAAGGTGGTGAATCCGAACCAGCTTGATGGAGTGCTTTACTAATGCGCAGCGGATGGTTATGCTTCTCGAATGTGCTACTGTAGTTTCATCGTGTCATTTTGTTTTCAGGACTTTTTCTTTTTAACTTACGTGAATGAGGAGAGGTTTACAGAGCAGATCGTAGAGGGGTCCAGCAGTTCATTCACATTCTGATCCACCTCCCGCATTCCCGTCCCCTCGATGCACCGTGACTTATCCCACTGTCTCTGTGGAGCGCCCATCCGGCCTCCCTTTGTAACCCTCAGCTTTGCCCTTGCTAAATGCTGCCTGTCTTATCTCAAATGGCTGATGAGTCTAACAAGGAGGTGAGCTCAGCTCCAGACCTGAAAGTGAACGGTCAGAATCTTGGGAGGCTCATCAGTCTCTATCCAAGCAGTAAGGCTCGCTTCCTTGATGATTTTGCGTTTTCTCCCACTCTGCTCAGGGTCACGTTCTGCTCCCCAGCCCTCTTTCCATCGAGGACCTCCGGATGTGGTCCTTTTCACAGTTGGTAGCGGTAGGTAGCTGGGCACTAATTATTGTCCCATCGAGTCCTAGAGCCTTGTCTTGGCTAATAGGCTCCCAGTGCCGCTTGAACCTCTTCCTTCAGGGCCCTGAGTTCTTGGGCTTGTGCTACCTCAGACCCAACCGTTCATTTCCTCAAGGTGTCAGTCAAGTCTGAGAAGTTTTCATCACTTTGCTCCACCACACTTAGGGGTATACTGTCAGCAAAATTAAATGTGTACCTATATAAGCATTCTTTGTCAGACCTTCAGGTATCTGGGTGTGCTCCCGCTGTCCCTTGCCTACTGCCTGTTCAGTCTGTGTGTCTGCCCAAGCATCTACTCTTAGGTCGTATCTATAATCTTATGTTCTTGTTACAGAAATTAAGAAACAAGTTCATCATCATTGCAGTACCCTAGTATACCAGTTTTAGTTTACCCTTTTCATACTTGTTTCCTTTCATGCTTCATATTATAATGGTTGTGGACATAGGCTCTTTGTATTTTTGTTTCTTCCCTTATCCTAAGCATTTTCCATGGAACTACCTTAAATGCTTTTATATTCCATGAGTCAGTTAGATCTCATCTTACGAAGCCTTTCGCCGCTTGTCAAATGTCAGAATGGCATCCAGATGAGCACTCTCACATGAAACGTGACAGCAACGTCTTTTTAAAAGGGTGCAGACACAGACAAGAAACGCCTGCTTGTTGACTTTAGCACCTTCCCTAATGGAGTCTGGTGACATTTCTTTAGGGCTAGTGAATGTTCCGGAAGAACCCATTGAAGAGGAGGAGGAGGAGGAGGAAGAGGAGGAGGAGGAAGACCAGGACATGGATGCAGACAGCAGGGTGGTGGTAGAGCACCACGAGGAGCTGCCAGCCACTAAGCCGGCCCGGGAGCGCAGCGCGTCCAGGCGGTCCAGTGCCAGTAGCTCCGACTCCGATGAGATGGACTACGATCTCGAACTGAAAATGATTTCCACGCCTTCACCGAAGAAAAGCATGAAGATGACGATGTATGCTGACGAAGTGGAATCGCAGCTGAAAAATATTAGGTACACGTCTTTTTTACTGATGCTGCCTTCTACCTTGCTCTGAAATAGCAAATCACTAGCCTCCTCTTCATCCCTTTCCACATTATAAGCACTTCCACCTCTTCTGATTTCAGTCCTTGAGAGGAGTTGTGTAAACGCATCCACTTTTCCCTCTCACCTATACAAGCACTGTATCCTTACTAGAAAAACTAGAGATAACGGAGACAGTGGAGGCCACCTGTAATCCAAGATAGCAGCTGTTGGCAGCGGGTGAATACATTCCAGTTACTTCTAGGCATGTACGTAGCACAGGGAGGAATTGTAGACATTACTGGTACCAAAGGCGCTTGTGCTAGTCTGCCTGTTTTGCTGTGTGCCTTTTCATGTGCCACCTTGGGAATGCTACATTGTTACTGTGTTGTACCCCAGGGTTCAAAATCAAAAATACATGATTTAGTTCATCGATCCCTTCTCGACGGACATTTAAACTTCTCACTGCTTACTGTCACACGAATTAGATGACATCTCGAGGCTCCGTTATTTTACAGAGCAAATATATATGTTTACAAGTGTGGTGAGAATTTAAACTTTTCTCCCAGAGAATTTTATTTGCATTACTCCCTGTTCGTGTCCATGCCCACCAGCCTTACTTGTCGTCCTTTATGCTTTCGGCCGCGGTCACAGATGGAAATCATAACGGGGTGTGTGCGTGTAGTAGAGGTGTGTATATTTTTCTTCCCGTGCTCAGCCCCTGCCCCCGGCCTGCCATTAAAATTTTGAATGGGCATTTTTTGACTCGCTGGTGGCGATGAGCAGCTTCCACGAGACACAGCCACACCTCAAAGGGACGGTCTTTCTGAGGTGTGTGGTCAGGGAAAGCCAACCCACACTGGCCTTGTGATGGCCGCGTTCACATCCACGTTTTCAGTTTTCAGAGGACCTCGGGCAGAACACGCTGCCCGAACAAGCCTGGGCTCCAGTCGGCCGGCGGTGGATCTCGTCAAAGGGAAGACGGGCCTGGCTCTTCTCGCTCAGCGTCATCTAGCTGCGGCGGCTGCTCGTTGGGCGCCTGCACAGCTGGCCCACCCGGTTCAAGCTTCTCCGCGGACCGGGCAGGGACACTGGTGGCGCCCTTTGGGTCGTGCAGTGTCCTCACCCTCCTTTTCTGAGCGGTTCCTTCATCCTTCAAGTCGACTTGTTCCCTCAGGTTCCTGTCCGACTTTTTTGAGGAGTTTGCCCCAAAAAAGGAGATTGCGGGTTCCACTGTGTCTTGACCACAGCCTGGGTGAGCAGAGGGCCGCCCAGCAAAGGAAGCTCTGTGTCGGCCTCCCCTGGCCCATGGCCTCAGCAGAAGGGGCTGCAGTTAGCTGCTCTGTGACAGCTTGTGCGCAGAGGAACTGTGTGGAAACCACCTGGGGTCACTTAGTAACGACGTGCCCTGACACGACTCTTGCCAACAGGCCAACCTTGAGTTTTCCATTTTCGTAAGCAAGTAACGAGCTCTGTGTGGTCTGTTGCACGTGTGACCGTCGGCCATATGAGCTGGAGTCTACATTGTGCCCTTCGGAGTCTAAGAATGAGATTGTTGCTTAGGCCTTTTGCTCATGGTTGAAGTTGATTAACTGTGCCCTTTTTTTTTTTTTTAAAGGAACTCCATGAGGGCAGATAGTATATCCGGAAGCAACATAAAAACCCGAATCGGTAGCAAACTGCCATCTGAGAAGTTTGCAGATGTGCGACATCTGTTGGATGAGAAGCGGCAGCACGCGAGTCCGAGGCCAGCGGCCAGCGGCAACGTGAAGCCGGGTATTGTTCTTGGGTTGTGGGTCCCGGCCGCCTGCTTTCTGTGCCATCCGAAAGCCAACCCAGAGCAGGGTATGGGCTCCCGAGTCTAAAGCTGCCATTTTTGGTAGGCTAATCTAATGGTCTTTGTTCTTCCCGACTACATTTTATGCTAAACATTGGAATTTCACAGGAGATGAAAAATAGTAAGACTGGCAATGTTCGCTTGTCCTAAACAATTACTCTCTTATTCGGTATGCGGTTGGTACACTTTATGTTCAAGAATAATAGAAATGAAGTTGGGTTGTCAGATAGGGAGTTGGACCTTTGAGCTAGATAGAGTTGTCCGTGTGTGCAAACAATCAGGTAGTCCGTTTGTGGGCACGGCTATTGTGTGGCCGGCCCTGGGCTCCGTGCTGGGAGCGTTGAAAGTCTCCGGAGGGGATGCGGAGCCTCCGTGGAGCTTGATGCCCAGGAGAGTCTGCACATGGAGACCATTCAGCCCCTGCTGTCATAGGCTTGCACGCCAGGGGCTGTGGGCGCCCAGAGGGAGGACAGGGGAGGCTGCTTAGAGAACTTGGCTGGACAGGGACTGGGCAGGCTCATTTGACAGACTGGGATGGCACCGGACCTGACGGTTTAGAAGGGTAGCTGGGGCCTGGGCAGAGAGTAACGGACCAGCTGAGGGGCTTGCGGCAGAACGGATGACGACATGGAGCGGCGCCAGGGAAGACTGCCTCTGGACCGGGAAGGGACGCAGGAAGGGGGCCAGAGAGACGCCAGAGGTCTCTGGCTTGGACAACAGGAAAGACGAGGCAAAGAGGATTGCGAATCTGAGGGATGAGTGAATGGCCCAACGTCATGCTAATCGATGTGTTTTGGTTACTGCTCTTGTTTTAGGTAACTCCAGGGGACAGGCAGGTTTCTGGTAGTGGTTGGCGTAAAAGCCTAATGAGTTTGGGACATCTTTGGCTTTTTGTCAGTCTTCTTACATTTGCTGGTTAACTACACTAAGTTTATTAAGAACGTGTGTGTTCCAGGAGTGTGGCTTCTCTCCTTGGAGAGCTGGCAGTGGCGTTTGTGAGCTGCACATTTTAAAAATTGTTCTCCTTGGTTCTAAAGACCGTTGCTCTGTCCCAGAAGACCCTTCCTGGAGAAGTCCGCAGAGGTGCTTGCCCATCTGGCAGCGCTGCACGGATGCTCCTGGGCCTCCCCTGCTTGTGAAGGAGAGGGTTCTTAGGGACCGGGCTGTGTTGTGTTGGGAACCACGTCCTGTAGAGGAACACGTGCCTGGTAACTTCTCTCTCTCTCTCGCCCTCCAGATATACGCCAACGATTAGGAAAAAGACCGCATTCTCCAGAGAAGGCCGTCGGCAGTAACTCTGTCGTTCGCAGAGAGCCCTTTTCTGACGTACATAGTAGGTTAGGTGCTCCCAGACAGGATGTTAAAGGCCTCTACTCCGATACTCGGGAGAAGAAATCAGGTTGGTAGCACTTGACACTTGTTGGGAGGGGGACGGACTACAGATGTCAACGGGCAGCAGGGAAATAACTTTCTTAACTGATCGGAACCCACCCCCACACACACACCCTGCCCATTCCCTGAAACGTCCACCACCATGAAGACTCTTAGCCATCGTGGGACTGCGCCCTCTGGGTCCTGTGCCTGTATGCCTTTCATGGGACAAACAGCAGGCTCCTCCTCGTGCGTCTGAGGAGGGCTCAGCCACCACTGCACCTAGCGAGGGACTGTGCCAAGTCAACTTTTTCTCTGTCCTGCTGATGACTGTCATTATAACTGATGGCCACAGTATGGACAGCTTAGAAAATAGGGAGCTGCCCCACCCCCACCCCACCCCGGCCTTCCCTGCTTCTTTCTCATTCATGCATGTATTTTTTAGTGTCACTTGTGCTATGTCAGTTTTGTCCCTACACATACCCCACCTTTGTTCATAGAGTATTTTATCCTGCTCATTACCCCCTCATATATTCATGATAGAGAAAGCTTTGAATTGTCCTCACAGTGCAGCACTACCCTACCCTCCTAAACACTCGGATCCCTGTGGTTAGATACAGCATATGTAAAAATAAACTAAATTTTATTTTAAAATATAAATGATCATGAAATTCGGCTTCCCCTCCTCCCCCACTCCCCCAAAGTGCCTGTTTATGAGGCTCACCACTGGGGGTTGGTGATGGCCCTTCAGCCCCAGCCCCTGACTCTCCCCAGACTGAAATGCTGTTTCACCCCAACAGGGAGTTTATGGAATCGCTTAGGATCTGCACCCAAGACCAAAGAAAAGAATTTGAATTCGAAGAAAGTGGAGCCCAGGGTGCCCGGCACCGAGGACGATGACTCCGAGCTGCAGAGGGCATGGGGGGCTCTGATTAAGGAGAAAGAACAGTCTCGCCAGAAGAAGAGCCGCTTAGACCACCTACCATCTCTGCAGATTGAAGTTAGTCGGGAGAGCAGCTCGGGTTCGGAGGCAGAGTCCTGATGCCTAGGCCCGACTCCTGCACCAGGACAGGCGTGAGCCCTGGGAGCCTGCCCAAGGGACCCGGCGCCCCCACCAACCCCCGCTTCCTCGTACAGTCACCCTGAGCCTGGCTGCCTCAACGAGCCGTCTAAGGATGGGGATGTGTGTGGAAGGGCACCTGTCTACCTGCCTTCTGCTGCAGACTCATCGTTTATTTTCCCACCACCCCTCGAGCTGTCCCCTCTGAGAACAAGGCCCCCCTCCAGATTTTGTAGATGTTTTTCTTAATATTTTTAACATTGTGTCTTTTAAAAGAGATGTTTTACACCGTTCATCCAAAGAGCAGAGAACTGAACTTCTCACTATTGCCTTGGCCTTGACAGCTGTTACCAGCACCCCTTTCCCCAGAAAAGTCAATTCCCAGGTGCTTATTGGACAGCCTTCGAGGGGGACGATGAGGGAAGCTGTCAGCTCACCCTTCCAGGGCCCTAGTGTAGGGGCCGGATCCTATGAACCTGACCTCCGAGGTGCGCCAGTGCTGCCACCCAGTAGATGAGAGACAGCCTGGATCCTGCTCCCTCGGGGACTGCGGTGAGGGGCGGCGCCGGCCCCGCGTGGAGGGAAGACCAAGTCCAGTGCTGTGGGGATTTTAGGAACAAAGAAAAACTGTGACTTGGGGTTGGATTTGGGGTTGCTTTTCTGGGCTAGGGGCGGGGCCATGGGTTAATGTTGAACAATTTTTATGTCTGTATTATGTTTAAAAATATTAATGACTTCAAAGTTTAAATTTTTTATATGTGAAAATTCCCCCTGTTGGCTACAGGGGGAAACTCAAGTGTCGTCTTCTGCTGTGCTGTGAAATCTATATTATATACTTTGGAAGAAGGCATCAGGAGGAGGGTCGCCATGTTTCAGACGATCCTGAGTGTCGTGTCTGTCGTACACGGGGTTCTGTGGACTCTCCGCCACTATGGACAGCAGGATCCGTGTGTGTGTGTGTGTGTGTGTGTTACATTGTTGTTGATTGCTGTAGAAGTGGGCACGGATCCATAATCTTTCCGCCGTCCTGTCTGGCCCTTGAAGAAGGAGCGAACAGGAGTTACAGGCGGTGCTGTTCTCTGGCGAGCCCTCCCTCGTTACCTTCTGGAAAGGCTGCGGGTGATTTTGTCTTCCCCGTCTTCCTTGTGAAGGGTCTGACGTTTGCGTTCCTCTCCAGGCTGACGACACTAGTGTTTGGCTTCAGCTCACTGGGACTTGGGGGCTTAGAGATAGTGAGCCACAGCCCCTCAGTCCTGTCCCTGGTCAGGGCCCTGAGGCACCTGATGTCACCCAGGAACCTAGAGTCTTCCCTTGGCCACACTTGAGAGTTGGCCACCCTGTATTGTGAGCGAACACCAAGCGCTGCTGTTAATGCAGCCGCAGCGAAGACTGGAGTGGGCCCGGTGCTGCTGGCTGAGGCCCTGCCTTGCTTACCTTTCGAGAAGGCTCCCCACGCTGTGTTGTGTTTTCTTACTAGGGTTCTAGGACTGAGGGGTCTGGCTTCGCTGCCAGTCGAGACCTGAAGCGGTGACCACCCAGTTGAGACACGTTCTTGGGGAGAAGTTGGGGTTTGGGGAGCTGGTACAAAGTCACAAAGAGACCTGGGGGCCAACTCCTGGCTGTGCCCCATGGGCCGTGGCCTGACGTCATCCGTCCAGTGAGCTTCAGGCTCTGCTAGTGCACACTCACGTCTGCTGTGAGCGAGGGAAGGCGGGGAAGGAGACAGTCGAGGTGGGGCATGAGGTAGTGGACATGAACTTACCCTTGGGCCATAAAAATATCCTTGTGGTCAGGGCCCCTACCAGACTGTCTCTGCAGCTTCTAGAACAGGGGTCCTCAAACTTTTTAAACAGGGGCCAGTTCACTGTCCCTCAGACTATAGGAGGGCTGGACTATAAAAAAAAATATGAACAAATTCCTGTGCACACTGGACGAGTCGGCTGCTAAGCAGGTCAGGCAGCGGGGGCAAAAACACCTGGGGGCCACATGTGGCCCGCGGGCCATAGTTTGAGGACACCTGTTCTAGAACATGCCCCTCCCTTGCCCCTGCTTCAGTTTGCCTTGGAGGGTCCCAATCGTGACCCTTTCCCACCAGTCGCCCAGGCATGTTTGTCCCATGGCCTTCAGGCCCCACCAGTTCTGCACGAGATTGGGGGATTTCCTTCCGGGAAGAGGTGGTGTGGGTCACTACACACTCCTTGGTCTCCCCAAGGAAAATACTCCAACAGGCCCCAAGTTCTCACAGACACACAACATTCCAGGGCTTGTCTGTCCAGAGGTTACGTGTGCTTCCTGACATTCCTGGTCTCAGCCTCTGCTGCCCCTGCCCACTTTCAGGCACGCCGCTACTGCGACATCTGGATGTGTCCTGCGTGCCTGGGCTCTCTCGTCCCCTGGCAGGATCTCCCACCCTTTTCCTGTCTCCCCTTCGCCCTTGTACCTGGGGGATTTGGCTTTTGCTTCCTGATCATAATCACAGAGATCTCACTTCTGTCTCTCCGTCTGGGAGAGCGTCTGTGGGCTCAGAAGCACTTGTGGAGACCACCTCTCTCCTAGTCCTCCCAAATCTCCTCCAAGCTCCACTGTCTCCTCTGGCTCTGTCCCTTTAGCAGCCTCGTCCCTGGTCTCTGCCCATCTCCCATGCATCCTCTGCTTCATCCTGTACTCTAGCCAGGAGGAACTTAACAAAAAAATTAATAGCCTGAGTATTCAGATAGAATTCTTATGTCCTACGACCCCCTGATTTAAAGTGTACCATTCAATGGCTTTTAGTGTGCAAACGCTTGTCAACTAGCACCGCGGTCAATTTAAAAAAAATTCATTTTATTGGGGGCTCATACAACTCTTATCACAATCCATCCGCCCAGCCATTGTGTCAAGCACATTTGAACATTTGTTGCCACCATCATTTTCAAAACTTTTTTTTCTACTTGAGCCCTTGGTATCAGCTTCTCATTTTTCCCCTCCCTCCCTCATGAACCCTTGATAATTTATAAATTAT